GTGTGTGTGTGTGTGTGTGTGTGTGTGTGTGTGTGTGTGTGTGTGTGTCAGGCAGGAAACAGGACATCATTAAAGTGACAGAGCAGCTCATTGAGGCCATCAGTAATGGAGACTTTGAGAGCTACACGTATGTACCATACAAAACAAACATGGAGGGTTGTTACARGCTTGTTTCTGACATCAGTATTTTCAACGTTAAAGATATTTTAGACATGTTCCTACACTTTCTGTCCTGTGTGTACACGTTACATGTTGTCTCTAACTTTCTGTTCTGGTTCCCTCAGTAAAATGTGTGACCCGGCTGTGACGGCCTTTGAACCGGAGGCTTTGGGAAACCTGGTCGAAGGGCTGGACTTTCACCGCTTTTATTTTGAAAACTGTGAGTTTAACCTGACTATTAGTAACTGGTCAGATTTTAMTACTCTGTAGTGGTTGAAGTCTTGCCCAGTGACCTGTGTGTTTTTGTCCAGTGTGGTCTAAGAACAGTAAACCAGTCCACACCACCATCCTGAACCCCCACATCCACTTGGTGGGGGACGAGGCGGCCTGCATTGCCTACATCAGAGTGACCCAGTACATCGACTCTAATGGCACGCCTCGAACCGCCCAATCAGAGGAGACCAGGGTGTGGCACCGCCGCGACGGCAAGTGGCAGATCGTTCACTTCCACCGCTCAGGCTCCCCCTCCACGCTCAGCAAGTAAGAGGTCCATCGTCACGGTGCGTTCAGGGGTCTGGGAGACAAAAACAAGTGACCAGTGATGCTGGTTACCAGTTCCCACTGTACAAATTCAGTTTGGATTATTCTAAAACCAACAACAGAACATTTGATACAGAACATCAAAGAAACATCGTGATTTATAAATTTAGAGATATTTACACCCAACTGAGTGATTTTTAAATGTATCATTTGGAAGCCCTAGATATTTCCCAGAATGCACTGCAGCTGTGTTTTTTTTACAGAATCCAGCAGAAGGCGCTGCAGCTCAGCATCAAATGTCTCTGGAAACATGATTAATTCCTCTTTTTCTGTCCTTTCTTTCAGCTAACTTCCTCTTCCAGAGTGGGCGGGTCTCTGAAAGGGCTGCTGTCACCGTGACAACAGGTAGATTGACAGCAGACCAGGCGTCTGACAACAACCATTCAGGATTTAGTTTGAGAGGTTGGAGGAGGAGACCACAGAGCCAGAGTGCTTCACTCTGACCCATCAATCAATCAATCAATCAATCAATCAACCATCTAACCAATCAGCTCCCTGGGTGCAGGAACAGTTTGTGTTATGTTGCAGAAACCTTGTATCTCCAGCTGCTCGCACACACAACCTGATTAATGTGGCCGATTAGCTTAGCTTAGCACAATGACTGGAAACAGGTGGAAACTGTTAGCCTCGTCGTCCAGCAGCTGTCCAACATTCAGGACGTTCCTGAGCGTGTGCAGAAGTTCTGACCGTGTGTCAATCATCCAGAAACATGGATCAGGTTCTGATCCGAAAACTAATCAATAACATTGATCAGTGGAGATACCAGGTTTCCTGCAGCCAAACTTCAGTATCTAAAGTAATAAATAAAATATGTTGTTTTTTTATGAGAAGTCTAAGAGTTGTTGTGACTGATCCGTTTTAGACCAGTTCTTCCCTTCAGGTTCCACACAGAACCTGAGACCAGAGTCTTCATCCTCTGGTCTCTGGTTCCACACAGAACCAGAGACCAGAGTCTTCATCCTCTGGTCTCTGGTTCCACACAGAACCAGAGACCAGAGTCTTCATCCTCTGGTTCCACACAGAACCTGAGACCAGAGTCTTCATCCTCTGGTCTCTGGTTCCACACAGAACCAGAGACCAGAGTCTTCATCCTCTGGTCTCTGGTTCCACACAGAACCAGAGACCAGAGTCT